CAGCAGCTGAATCTGGACGCCAGTTCCGACTTACATACAGATTCAACTTAAGAACAAACCTACAGTCCCTACCTTGTACGTAACCCGGGGACTGCCTGTAGTCTAGACTCCAGCCTAAGCCTGAACGCCTCCGTAGTTTTGGTCCTGCAGGCTGAGCCCTGCGAGTTGACTTGGGGTGCTGAGACTCCGCAATGAGTTTTACTTTGTGGGGTAGACACGCCAGTTCCGACTTACATACAGATTCAACTTAAGAACAAACCTACAGTCCCTACCTTGTACGTAACCCGGGGACTGCCTGTAGTCTAGACTCCAGCCTAAGCCTGAACGCCTCCGTAGTTTTGGTCCTGCAGGCTGAGCCCTGCGAGTTGACTTGGGGTGCTGAGACTCCGCAATGAGTTTTACTTTGTGGGGTAGACAGACCCTAAGGGATCTCCAGCTGAATCCACTCACCCCTCTTTATCCCAAAACTTTCCTTGTTGCACTAGCTCAGAGTGGTGTTTTGCTGGTTTGCTCCACCTAGGCTGCGAGTAAAAGAAGTTCTGTTTAATCGCCTTCTTCTAGGTGGAAGAAGCAGACGACTGGCTTAGACACGGCAACCCCTGGGAGAAAGCGCGTCCCGAGTACATGCTGCCTGTTCACTTTTACGGAAGACTGGAACACACCAAGAGTGGAGTGAAGTGGGTCGACACGCAGGTACTGACGTGGGCCGGGCAGGAAGGAAGAAATGCCTCCTAAGCTAGGGACTGGGAGTATTTTACCCTTCTCACAGTGCCAGGGCAGGAAACTGATGCCTGTCACTCCTTGGCATTGTGGAAGGGACGCTGTAGTTTGCCACCAGCGTGGCCTTTTTAGGAAGGATCTAACCTGGAATCAGTCCAAGGTGCTACCTGCATTTTTCTGGTTTATTCCTTCCGTACGCTACAAGGAGGCTCAACGTAAGATCTGTCGTGTCTCCTTGGCAGACTGTGTCCTTCATCCCGTTGCTCAGCTGCTTGTGATGGCCACGGAAACTGAACCAATGCTCCGTGCTGTGGTCAAAACAGAAGCTTGCAAGAGAGCACGTTCATGCGGCTGACAGGAAACGAGTCCTAGCCATCTGAGAGACCACAGCTGAGCGGAGCCTGGCCTTGCAGAGACGCTAGTTTTATAACCTCCTAGCCCCCAGTCTGGGCTGATCCCCAGTTGGATTTAAATTGTCCCCTTTACAAACAACCCTGGCAATGTGCTGATCACTGCTGAGCCTGCAGATACCGTATGTCCCAGGCTGACCGTGCCATCTGTCCAGGTGGGGCTGAGCACCAATTATCTTTTCCACAACACTAACTCCCTCCTCCCTCCCGCTCCCTTTGAGCAGACGGGGTTGGGGGGAAGAACTAGAGAACTTTCCAAACGATAGATGGTTGCAATGGGTGTATAAGGGCAGGGAGCAATGTCCCCAAGCATCTTTCTAGAATATTTTCTAACCCTTCCCTCCCATGATGTAAATGGCTTATTCCTATTGCTGTAGCTGGAGACCTCGTTGCAAATTCCCCCTTTTTAAGTTGCTTCCCGTATTCTGTTAGCCATCGCTTGCTGTTTAGCGCTTTTCATAACGAACATACAGCATTAAGCACAGTATATCTATGGCCACCTTTCCAGGGTGCTTTTTTTAAGCTTGCAAAAGAATCCCAGTGCCCCGAAGAACGGGTGGCGTTTGTATAATTACTGGTGCCAGACTGACCCCTTGAGGGCCTGTCCCACAGTCCGTGGAAAGACGCTTACTGATTTCAATTCCATGTCGTTTGAACATGCACTTTCCGCAGGCCTGGTCCGTGGCTTTCCAAAGTCAATGGGAATCCTTCTGTTGACTTCAGCTGGCTTCGCTCAGGCCCTGTGTTTAGTCCTTGACTGATGTAAGGGTGGGCTTTGATAATGGGACTATCGCATGAAGTCACACTTGAATTCCAGCCTCTCCTCTATCAAAGCTCTCCACATCTGGCTCGCCGCCAGACTTGCTGTAACCCCTGTGTTGTCCTAGGTGGTCCTGGCCTTGCCCTACGATACCCCGGTGCCTGGATACATGAACAACACTGTCAACACCATGCGGCTGTGGTCTGCTCGGGCTCCTAATGACTTCAACCTCCGAGACTGTGAGTACCTCTTGTGCAAAGTCTTTGCTTCGGGCTAGATGCATACTTTGGAGAGAGAGGGGAGGACGACTGTGCCGGGAAAAGTCGTGAACTAACGTCCGTGATAGACTGCTGCTGGACAAGGACTGGAATGTCCCCCAGTAACTTCCTTTCCTAGTTCACCAAAGGAGGAGGATCCAGTTTGAATAGCCCCAAAAGCGTCGCCTGTTCATAGAATCCTAGAATCCCAGGGCAGGAAAAGACCTCAGGAGTCATCAAATCCAACCCTCTGCCCAAAGCAGGACCAACCAACTGTTACTTTGACAGTCAGGCGCGTGTGTTGTTTTATTGTCCGATCCCCCCTTCTTTCTGTAATTCCTCTGGCTGCTGCTAACTCTCCTGTGTGCAACCCGTCAAGCCTCTTGAGCAACGTGCCATTGTACTGACTCAACCCTTCCCTTGCAGTTAATGTTGGAGATTACATTCAAGCTGTCTTGGACAGAAATCTGGCGGAGAACATATCGCGTGTCCTGTATCCAAACGATAACGTAAGTCGCCCAAAAAACGGCTGGAGCCTGCTGCTCCTTCTCATTAGGTGAATTAGCTGAAGCAAAACTTCCCCATGCCTCAGACAGGAAACCAGATTAATCCTGCTCCGAGCACCGGATTACTGAAGCAATGGGCATAGCAGAAAAATATCAACACAAGAACAGGGAGTGAGTGAATAAGGTCTCTGTGCATTATGGAAACATTGGCAGTGCACTGCTACAAGGCAGCCATCCTAGCGAGAAACAGGAACGACCTCTAGTTCTGATGCTGCCCCTTGCGTTGTTTTATTCTCCTTTGCGCTGAAAGTGGCTGGCTTCTGCGAATAACCTTTTGTTGGTGTTGTGTGTGTGTGTGTGTGGCTACAGCAAAGGGTCTTAGAACTACGTCAGGCGTAATTCAAGAAATCCATGCAGCCATGCTTAAACACATTTTAGTATCTCTAATCTGGAAATGTCAGTGCTTAGATGGCTACTCGCGGGGAGGTAGTTGGCTTCTCAGGAGCTGGTGTGCACAGGGAGCCAGCTGTTAAGCCAGCTCTCGGCACATGCCAGGAGCTGGCGTGTAACCATGAAGGTGAACTGACGAGCCCAGGCTTATCAGTTAACCGTGTGCACGTTTATCCGGTCACTTCCCTAGCCATGATTGAGTGTTGTCTGGGATTCTGATAATGTAAATTGGACCACAATTTTATAAAGAAAAAATATTGGGCAATTTGCGCTATTTGGGGAAAATCTAAACTGGGGGGCAGAGAGGACCCATGTTTTAACGTAGGTTACTGCTGTGTGTCCAGGAATCAAGTGTTGTGTTCTGCTCTCACATGCTTTCCCCACACCTAAACGTGACTAGGTATTTCTGGCATTCATGCCCCTATACAGATTCCCTTTGCAGACACCCCATGAACAGTAAATAAACATAAATTTCATATCCTCTCAATAAGACTGATGAGTCTTTCTGTCTATTAAGAAAAGATTTGAGAGACGGAGCTAAGGTGATCAAGGACCAGTGGTGTCCTGCGATAGCACCAGGACTTGCATAGATCAGTAAAGGCTCTGTTACTTCCAGCAAAGAACACAAAGTAAATATTCAATAAAAAAGGAGGAAAGACTGAGCTATTACACGATTAAAATGCGATTGCAAAACATCCTTGCTAATAGATGCATAACTTGTAAAACGGAATGACGCATAAAAGGATAGTAGGGTATTAAAATTCACATACTGGTCTGTCTTTGTGATCAGGATGTGAATAATTTAAAACTACTCTGAGTGTCATAGCTACTAAGGTCTATTCACATTCAAATTCCTCCCATTATCTGGAAGTATTCAGTTTTGAATGGCCTGTTGGTATAAAATGATTGACTTACTGCTGTTACTATTGCCTGTAACATCGTAAAACTAAAATCACTTTTAAAAAAAACCTGGCTTTCCCCCTACATGCTTTCTAGTCATTTGCTGCCTTGAGCAGTTTCAATTAGCATCACTTCAGGCTCTTCTTGCATTAGCCTGATATGGGGTTGGGATTCCAAACCCTACAGAGATGCATTAAAAGATGCAGGGGAGTCAACAGCATCTCGGAAATCTAGGATCACAAGTCATGCTGAAAGCTGCGACTTGTGCTCCAAAAGTTACTCGAAAATACCACCTGTCATTTTCAAGAGAGAGGAAAACGGCGGTATGCCTGTTGTAAAAGGCTGCCTTTCACAAACCCTGGATTTTGTGACTACCGTAAATTAGCGCATGTAACGTTTGCTTATGATATTGCTTTGCCACACTTCTTGTATGTGTATGTCCTCAATAAAAAATTCTATGTTTCACTTGATTGAAAAGAACAGTATTTATCTGAATTAGATGTAGAGGTCTGGTCTTCTCAGGTTCTATGTGAGGAATAGGGAACCTCAGGCCCAGGGGCCACTTGCCTGGATCTGGCCCCTAAGTCTCTCCCCTCCCTCTTCCCCCTCCCCTCCCCCCGGCATAGTTTGAAATACGAGACTTGGTTTTACCTTGTATACCCCCCGGGCTGTACACGTGCGCGGGGTATACAAGATTTTTTTACTCAATAATGGAAAACTGCAGGTTATACCTGTGCGCGGGTAATATTTGCTAATTTGATCAGACAAGGCCCTTTAAAAAGAGAAATCAATACATCCTGCTTTAAGGAATATCTCTTACCAGCCTGACTGGTTTTGGCTTTATGCCAGCTGAAGTCATGCAAGGCCAAAAGATAGCACGAGGTGAAATTACTGCTCCTCTGATATTCGTGAGCGTCGGGTCACTTTGGTGTAGAAGCCTGGCCACTGGGCTCTTGATCTCCATTTTCACAATCCAAGGTGTGTTTGGCTGCCTGTGTGTGCCGTTGCCAGAACTCCTGGCTCCAGCAGGGGTGGGAGCTGATGCGTCGTCCCACAGCTAGGAGTGTGAAGAGCGAGTTCCCACCTCAGCTCGGCACAAGGAGTCCGTAGCAACAGGTTAAAATCAGTCACTGGGAGGGTAACCCTTACAAATGAACTCGCTTCTCCTCCTTTTCCCTTTGGCGATTTCACTCCCTGAAGGCCAGGACTAGGGATAGTGATAGAAATGTAGCCGTGTTAGTCTGGGGGAGCTGAAGCAAAATGCAGGACAATGTAGTCTTTAAAGTGCTACGTTATCCTGCATTTTGCTTCAGGACTAGGGATGTGAGTGACTAGTCGTCTACTCGATACGCAAATGGCAGCAAGGGGGGGAAGGAGCCGGTGTTGGGGGACAGCTTAAAAGCCGGTTTCCCCCAGCACCATTTCAGTGGGTGGCTCTTGTACATTTCAAAGGGAGAGGCGCAGCAGGGATAGCGAGCCGCCCCCCCTTCTCGACTAATCGAGTAGTCAATGGAAAGTCCGTCGACTACTCGATTAGCTGACTCATCGGAATTTAACTCCCTAGCCAGGACAATCACACTGGATGGATCCCTTCTTTCCAGTGGGGTTTGCTTTTTCATTCTCCAGCAGTGGCACACTGTTGAAGTTGCAAAGGCTGCTGGGAAAACAGCCAAAATGCTCTTAACAAATTACATTTTGAAGAAATGACCTAGGGAGAAGTCCTTTCGAAAACCAGCGAATGTGACCGGGTTGCATAGTAGAAATGATATTCAGCAACACACCACTGTCAAGCTAGAACAATCCAGATCCATTAAGTTCAGGCCCACTGGGGATTCAAGCCTATTGTATCCCTTCACCTTTCCGGTTGTGCCGCATTCCCATCTGTTCTTGCGTGCAGTTTTTCGAAGGCAAAGAGCTGCGGCTGAAGCAGGAGTACTTCGTGGTGGCTGCCACACTCCAGGATATCATCCGGCGTTTCAAAGCATCCAAATTTGGGAGCACGGAAAGCATTCGAACTGTATTCGATTCTTTCCCGGATCAGGTAAGCCATGATTAGAGCAACAAAAATGATTCATGATTAAAGATCTAGAGAACATGAGTTATGAGGGAAGACTGAAAGAATTGGGCTAGTTTACTTTAGGAAAGAGAAGACAGAGAGGCGACATGATCGCAGTTTTCTAGTATCTAAAAGGGTGTTACAAGGACCAGGGAGAAAAATTGTTCTCCTTGGCCTCGAAGGACAGGACAAGAAGCAATGGGCTTAACTTGCAGCAAGGGAGGTTTAGGTTGGACAGTAGGAAAAACTTCCTACTTGTCAGGGTGGTGAAACACTGGAATAAATTGCCCAAGGGGGTTGTGGAATCCCCATCTCTGGAGATATTTAAGAGCAGGTTAGATAAATGTCTATCAGGGATGATCTAGACAGTGTTTGGTCCTGCCATGAGGGCAGGGACTGGACTCGACCTCTCGAGCTCCCTTGCAGTTCTAGTGCTCTGTGGTGCTATGATAATGGGATGATCAGTCTTGCTGACAAGAGGGGGCCAGCGATTCAGAGGGACTTGTGGCTCCCAGCTACTGCAGCCCTCTAAATCCCCACCGGAACGTCCCACAGTGCGCTCTGGATGGCCGGGAGGAGTGACACCGTGGTCCGGGTGGCACTGAGGCTGGCTGCCCTGGCATTGCCCCTTCCTCCCAAGGCCTCGTCCTTCATGGGTGTGCACCGGGGGGTCCCAAGTCACCTTGCCCTGGGGGCTCGGCCAGGCTGTTGGCTCCTCTGGGGGTAATGTCTGAGTGAGTCTCCTTTGAAACGCAAGCATCGCGTGCTTCCCAGCTGCCTCCTACGTGTCTTGCTTGTGAAGACCCAGGAGTCCCCATGGGATCTGATTTGGTATTTCCTACCCTGAGCACTTGCATTCAACCCCCCCCTTCCCCCAGCCGCAATGGAGGGAACAGATCCATGGGAAGGCAGCACATTGGACAGCAGCAGCGAGCCGAGAGGGCCGGTACGGTTGCTGGAGCGGTGTGTTTGTTTCAATAGGTAGCGATACAGCTGAATGACACTCACCCTGCACTGGCCATTCCCGAATTGATGAGAGTTTTTGTGGACATTGAAAAACTACCATGGGCCAAGGTTTGGAAAACTCTCTTCGTGCTTTTGCTCTTGCTGGCAGAGATGCTGAAACGAGGGGTGGGGAGCAGCGCCCCGTGGCTTGAAGCAGTTTCCATTTTCTGCGGGGTTCCCAGTTGGGCTAACGAGCGCTCAGCACCTGTCCTGTACAAATTGTTCTGGTGCCCCTGGGAGCCTGAGACAGAGAATGCCAGCCAGCGTAGCTTTACGAGAGAGCAACTGTCTCGATAATCCCTTAACTTTTTCACGGCATGCAATGTCAGAGTGACAAGATGCCTGGACTGACCCTGTAATCAAGCTAAACTGATGAAGAGCGCACAGTTGAAGGAAGTGACAGGTATCCAGCCTCACCAGTATAGCGTCAGGGCCTTGCGGAGGTCTGTTTTATAACAAGCATATAACAAGCTTATCTTTTAACTGAGTAAAACCTTTTGTAAGGTTCCTGTTATAAAAGAACAGCTCTGTTCAGAGATCCATGACACAGATTACTAGGGAAGGGGTAAACCTGCATTTCCACGGTGTGCTGCCTGTAGTAAAGTGCCCCTTGGCAGGCAGCCACACCCCAAACACCCTCCTGTTCCCCAGCCCTGAGCCCCCTCCCTCACGGCAAGCCCCACCCCCAGCTCAAAGCCTGCATCCCCTCCCGCACCCCAGCCCCCTGCCCAGCCTGGGGAAGCCCCCTCCCTCACGCCAAGCCCCACCCCCAGCTCAAAGACTGCACCCCCTCCCGCACCCCAGCCCCCTGCCCAGCCTGGGGACAGTGAATGGGCTGCAGAGATTCAACGCCTTTTCCTGCTGTGCTCCATGGAGTCAGCAGCAGAGCCTGTCCCGTGCGCACACGCCCCTGCCTCTGCCGAGGGAGAGAGGGTGGGACCCCAGGGGAAAGGTTTGGCCCCTCGTGGGCATGTGTGCTGGTTTGAGACGTCGCTCGCTTGACTCTCCTGACGGTTGCGCCCCTCGATTTGCCACCAGGCCTGGGATATCACAAAGCGGACCTTTGCCTACACAAACCACACGGTGCTCCCGGAAGCCCTAGAGCGCTGGCCGGTGGATCTTGTGGAGAAGCTGCTCCCGAGACATCTGCAAATCATTTATGAAATCAACCAGCGGCATCTGGACGTAAGTAGCCTGGGATGAAACCGGACACTCGTGCTGCGGGGGGGGAATTTTCCATGTTCCGCCAGGGCCTGGAGGCTGTGACGGGGCTGGCTTCTCTCTGGTGTGGAACCTGGCTGTGCGGATCGGCGCTTGACTTCTTTCTGGCAGGGTGGGGGAAAAGGGAGTCCTTGACGTGAGGATTGGGCTCGGCCGCAGGCAAATCTCTCTCCTTTTGTGCTTGCTCTTTGTCCCATGCTGGCTGCGGTTAAAAATCGATCGATCGAACAAGACGTCCCTCGGAAACGTCAAGTTGTTTTCCTCTTGCAATAGTAAAGCTCTCTCTGGACAGGATGGGGCTGACCCGGGAGTGCGAAATAAGCCAGGGAGGGCTTAAATCTCCTGGTCAGCGAGGTCTGCACCCTAGCAGCACCGGAATGTAAATGTGACTCCACGCCAGGGTTAGCCAAATCGGTCTCTGCTCCCGCTTCCCTCTGCGGAATGGTTTTGGGTTCGCAGCACGAGGGATCTGGGGCCCACTAAGTCAGAGCAGGGAGAAAATAACCAACGCTCAGATGACGCCTAACGGGAAAACTAGGAACTCACGGGGAACTGAGAGCTCACCCGCTTTGCCGTGGGTCCAGGCGCTTCGCCCAGGCGCGCGTGGAATGCTTGTGGGAGCAGGCGACCGCAGAGGCTAGAACCAGAGGCTTGCAGGGGTCAGCGACCCACACTCTTCGCAAGGCTTCGAGTGCAGGAAGCGGGGAACAGAGCACTTGAGCCCACAGAACCCCTGTGGGCCGCAGGTCGCCCGCCACTGACTTCAGTGCCGTTAGGGAACGTGGGGTGTGTTCCCTCGGCTGGCTACGAGCAGTGGATCTTACTGCCTCATTCTAGATCAGTGTGTTCCGCAGCACACCAACTTTTCCCTGGTGGCTTTTTTTTTTCCCTCAACAAAGTCCTTGGTGTTCCCCATAAAAAAAAAAAAATTGTTTGTTTCTCGGTCTTAAAAAATTTGAGAAACTCTGGTCTGGATACTCCGGTTTTGACAGGAGTGTGGTGAGCAAGACACAAGGAGTCATTCTTCCGCTCTGCTCTGTGCTGATTGGTCCCCAATTGGAGTATTGTTGTGTCCCGCTCTGGGCACCACATTTCAAGAAAGTTGTGAAGAAATTGGAGAGGGTCCAGAGAAGAGCAGCAAGAATGATGAAGGGTCTAGAGAACATGAGCTGTATGGGAAGGCTGAAGGAATTGGGCTTCTTGAGTTTACAAAGGAGAAGACTGAGAGGGGACATGATAGTGGTTTTCAAGTATCTAAAAAGGTGTTACAGGGAGGAGGAAGAAATGTTTTTCTCCTTGGCCTCTGAGGACAGGACAAGAAGCAATGGGCTTAAATTGCAGCAAGGGAGGTTTAGGTTGGACTTTAGGAAAAACTCCCTGCCTGTCAGGGTGGTTAAACACTGGAATAAGTTGCCTAAAGGAGTTGTGGCATCTCCATCACTGGAGATATTTAAGAGCAGGTTGAACAGACGCCTGTTAGGGATGGTCTAGATGGTGCTGAGTCCTGCCGTGAAGGCAGGGGACTGGACTTGCTGACCTCTCGAGGTCCCTTCCAGTTCTAGTGTTCTATGATTCTACAACTCTTGACTGGCCTTTATCCTGTCTCCAACCTCACAGAAAGTTGCAGCCCTGTTTCCCAATGACCACGACCGTCTGAGAAGAATGTCCCTGATTGAAGAAGGGGGTATGAAGAGAATCAACATGGCCCATCTCTGCATCGTCGGCTCTCATGCGGTTAACGGCGTAGCAAAGATCCACTCGGATATCGTGAAGACTCAGGTGTAAGTGTTGGAACGATACGGCTGGCATTGGTGAATGGCAAAGTACGGCGGTGCCGGACCTCTTCATCGCAACTCCCACGAATGATGCAGAAAAAGATCCTGGAAGTAAGGCTACGTCTAGACTACAGGCTTTTGTCAACAGATCCTGTCGACGAAGCCTCTGTCGACAAAGAGCGTCTAGGCTACATCCAGTTCTGTCGACAAAGCAAACCGCTTTGTCGACACGACCGTGTAGACGCAAAGGACAGCGTAGATGCAATAACGCCTTCTGGCGACAGAACTCTGTCAGCAAAAGGCGTTATTCCTCGTAGAATGAGGTTTACCGCCGTCAACAAAACTGCCGAGTTCCATTGATGTTATGTCGACAGAACTTGACGGTAGTGAAGACGCAGGTATAGTTTTGTTGAAAAAAGGCCACTTTTGTCGACAAAACCCTGTAGTCTAGACACACCCTAAGTGGTCCATGCCATGAGCCACCGCCCAGTTTCAGAGCTGGGAGTAGAATTTGTCTCCCTCCACCTAATCTTGTGCTCTAAGCACTAGACAGCGCTGCCTGGGTGCATGGAGGCCCACTCGGATAATGGCTTCCCACTGCCTCTCTGACTCCGACCGTTGCCTTCTCGTTGTGCTAGGTTCAAGGATTTTGCCGAGCTGGACCCAGAGATTTTTCAGAATAAGACCAACGGAATCACCCCCAGGCGCTGGCTCTTGCTTTGCAACCCAGGGCTGGCCGAGCTGATAGCGGAGGTAATCGAGGGGCCTCGGTGCGTGCGCGACCTGTGGGCATGTGGGAAAGAGGGCGCAGGCACGCAGAAGCTTCTCTCCAGTTCTACGCGCCCTGCCCCTCCTCTACCAGCCACAGTGCAGCAGGGGCGGAGGGTCGCTTGGCAGGACGAGTCACTGCCCGGCCCAAGCTGTTTATCTCCGTAGCCTGATTGGAGCTTGGAATTTGGGAGAGAACTTGTTTTGGCGACTGATTTATGCGGCGTGTTCCCTCCCAGCCTGCATGGGTAACCACCACCAGGAAGATTTGAACCTGGGACCTCAGGAGCTGACTATAGGAGCCTCTGAGCTAAAAGCCAGCTGGCTCCCAGCCTGTGCTGTAGAGGTCTCTTGATCTTACCTGTTGCTGTGGTCTAGGTACCACTTGCATTGCTCAATAACCACCCTAGGGATGAGGGTTACATATGCACGGCTCCTGGGTGGGGAAACTGCCCGGACAGGCTTATGCCATCACATGCCTGCTTAAAACACTCCGCCTGATCAGGAGGCTTCCCTGGTTCCTCTGGGAGTGTTCCTGGCTCCTCCCTGGGCCGTAGATCTCCATGAATGAGTGTTTGCAGGGTGCTCCCGCCTCGTAAACTAACGCTGCTGCCTGAAGGGGCAATGGATTGCTTATCCCCTTGCCCCTCTGCTAGGATATGCACCTGCTTTTACACACGCGAGTGCACACAGTGCATGGCAGGTGCACGTGTAGGAGGCACAGGAACATGCCCAGGACCTGTGTCTCAGTGTACTTTCTCCAAAAGAATAAAACAGAGTTGTCTGTTCATGGAGGATAGGTCCATCAATATCTATTGGGCAGGGGTGGTGTCCCTGGTCTCTAGTTGTCTGGGGCTAGAAGCAGGTGATGGGAAAGATCACTTGATTCCTTGTTCTGTTCACTCCCTCTGGGGCAGTGGTCCCCAATGCAGTGCCCCTGGGCGCCATGGCGCCTGCCGGGGCATTTATGTGCGCCCACCGTAACATCTGAGCTGGCCCTGCCCCCGGTGCGTGGCATGGCGCATGGGAACAAGGCGCATGGGCGGCTCCTGACCCGGGCGTGTGGGCAGCACCCCTGCCCCCGGGCATGCAGGCGGCTCTGCCCCCAGGCACCTGGTGCGTGGGCGGCCCTGCCCTCAGACGCCCGGCAGCCACAAAAGGTTGGGGACCACTGCTCTGGGGCATCTGGCATTGGCCACTGTGGGCAGACAAGATTCTAGGCGAGATGGACCTTTGGTCTGACCCAGTGTGGCCGTTCTTATGTAAATCATGTAAAATCCTGATGCAGATTGACAAGACAGACATCTGATTTGGAGGGGCCTCTTCAGAACGGGGCCCTCCTGGAGTGAGCCCTCGTTAAGAGAATCCCAGATCCCTGAGTCACTCCAGGCCGGATCGTTGGCTCTTGACCATATTGCTAGCGAAGCTGAATGGGTGACTATGTTCTGAAACTCTCCATGGGTGAGGGATTTGAGAGAGGTGGAGGAAGGAGGCGTTGATCTTGGACCTCTTTCCATTGGAAACTGGCCAACGTCTCTCAAACCTTGTTCGTCATCTTCGTGTCCAGCCTGTTGAGTTAAACTGTCTTGAAGATTAAATATGGCCTAGATAAAATATTGCTTCCTTCGGAAGTTAGAACACCATATCTTCTGTTTCTGTCCACACGGACGCGGCTAACTGTGCAGCACCTGTGGCGAAAGGCTGTTCAGGAACTGCAGACAGCAAGTAATTCCATGCCTTGGTTTTATTCTCCCTACTTGTTGCAGAAAATCGGAGAGGACTATGTGAAAGATCTGAGTCAGCTGACAAAGCTGCATCAGTTTGTTAAGGACGACATCTTCATTCGGGAGGTTTCCAAGGTGAAACAGGTAAGAGACTGGGGATCTCTGGACGGGCTGGGGGTGGGTGTGAAATCGGTTGCGTGCGATAAGGTCTGTAACTGCTCCGCAGGAGAATAAAGTCAAGTTTGCTCAGTACTTGGAGAAGGAATACAGAGTGAAAATCAACCCTTCCTCCATGTTTGACGTGCAAGTGAAGAGAATCCACGAGTACAAGCGGCAGCTCATGAACTGTCTGCACATCATCACCATGTACAACCGTAAGTCACTCGCCCTGCGGCTGTCTCTCTGAGGGAGACACTCTGACCTGGGCATGCGCTGACGGGCACTGAACCACGGCAACGCCTGGACGGGAAATGTTGGGTAACGTCCCATTTTCTTTTAGGCATAAAGAGAGACCCTACGAAGTCATTCGTGCCCAGGACGGTTATTATTGGAGGCAAAGTGAGTTGATCACACAGGCCTTTAAGGGCGGGGGGGGGAGGGTGACGTGCTATCGGGGAGCACTTAAGGGATTTAGGGGCATAAAAGCCCCATTGCCTGCCCAGGGGAATTGCCCTCTTGGAAGAAACTACCTCTTGTGGTAACATCTGAAAGGCTTCAGCCAACTCAGAGCCCCACTGAACTTGGCAAAATACAACCCTAGACTAATTGACAATCCCTGCACTAGAGAATTGAGAGTCGAAACGACGAGGTAAGGGGTGGACGCCAGGAACAAGTGGGCAGGGTGTGGAGAGGAAGAAGACAGTAAGAAATACAATAGCGTGTTCCAGCAAACTCACCGGGTGAGCACGATGGCAGCCAGTATTCTGAGCCTAGCGAGTCTTCATTCCGCCTTTGTGTGTGTCTCTCTCTCCAGGCTGCTCCGGGATATCACATGGCTAAAATGATCATCAAACTCATCACGTCGGTGGCTCACGTGGTGAACAATGACCCCATGGTTGGGAACAAGCTGAAAGTCATCTATCTGGAGAACTACCGCGTGTCGCTGGCTGAAAAGGGTAATGCGGGTCTAGGAGCAGTGGGAGAGGCTGCATGCCCAGTAGGGTTTGGAAGATGACGTAACGGCAGTACAGTAAGACTGCTGTGTCATTTTAGATCAATCTTTCTAACTGGGTAAAGATTTTAAGTTTTTTCTTCCCTATCTAAGGCTTGTAGGTTCTGCCTCTTCTGTATAAACCCACAAGCCAAAGCAGGGCTGGTAGAGTTAACAGCGGTTTCCTTTTTGGAGTGAGGGTATGTTCTTCCCCTTTGTCCCTGGGATTCACAAGCTACTGCTTAGTTGTCATGGCACAGGGCTGCTCGTTGTTTTTAAAGTTACAGAATAACACCGCGACCCCTCTGAGACCTTTCCCTTTTTGTGTGTTTAAAACAAAACCAGCTCCTCCCATGGCACTTACAACTGTCGTTTGTTTCTCATACCCGGGTCAACATTGCAGGAGAGAGTTGAATCTTCTACAGTCTTGAAAATCCCCTCTCCCTGCACGTCCCGGTAGGAAAAAACCAGCAATGCAAATAGCAAGAATCATTCTCCAAAACGCTGACGCTGCCCAAGAACTGCAGAGGAGAATGGTCTCCGTTCTGGTGTCCTTGGCGCAATGTGCACTCTTGAGCTGGTAGACATTTATGCCGATTTGGGGATGAAGCTACAGCTTCAAAGGCCTTGATCCTGTGAGTGGGTCTGTGCAGACTTCAGGATGGATTGGGCCTTGTATCCGCACACAACCTGTTGTAGGATCAGGAGCCTAAGTCTGAAACCCTGTATCCTGAAGGACGGATTTAAAACGTTTCCATCTTGACTGGGATGCGGCCACAGGCTAGCATGTCCTGCCAGGGCCTTTCTGGGGCCATGTAGTCTACAGCAAACTCTTAGATCCGTGTAAATCCCGGGAACCAGAAGCCTAACACACGGGTTGTTGGACTTTTTTTTCCTCATGACCCAGTTGAAGAAACTTGTCGATGCCGCGACCCAATGTCATTTGATTAGACTAGAGTGTGGGCTCCGGGATGGGGTGGCGGGTGAGAGCTTTGGGCTGTAGGAGGAGGGGGCTCTGGCTTTGGGAACAGGTCAGGGCTGGGACAGGAGGGGCTTCCCTTGAGCAGCTCCCGATCAGCGGTGCAGCAGGGGCACTAAGGCAGCTTCCTGCCTCTCCTGGCACCGCAGCCCAGGCTGCCCCCCAGAAGCAGCCGGCAGCAGCCAGCCAAATAGGAGGGTAGAGCTAGTGCTGAGGGCAGGGGCAGTGTGCAGAGCCCTGTGCACTCTTTTCCCCTTCTCCCCCTCCCCTCCACTTCTGTGGCGCAGCACAGCCTGCGGGGCCAAGACGGGCAGGGAGCTGCCTTAGCCCCCACACTGCTCACCTGACCCCCTGCAGAAGCGAGCCCCCGGGCCTGACATTCCACCACCCAGTCCTGGGTCTCAACCCAGCGTCTGAGAACCGCTGCCCTATGTCACGCTGATCGACTCGTCTTTCAGAGGATGCGGCTCTTAAGCCGGGCCGTGGCGCCAAGGACGGAGTCACAGCAAGACTTGAAGTGGACTCCGATGGCCTTGGGAACAAAGCCCGGCATTGAGAACGTCTTGGTGCGTTTTGTTGGCAGTGATTCCGGCCACGGACTTGTCCGAGCAGATCTCCACAGCAGGCACGGAAGCGTCGGGGACGGGGAACATGAAATTCATGCTGAACGGAGCCCTGACCATCGGGACCATGGACGGAGCCAACGTGGAGATGGCAGAGGAGGCGGGGGAAGAGAACTTGTTCATCTTTGGCATGAGGGTCCAGGACGTCGCCGAGCTGGACAAGAAAGGGTGAGGCTCTCGTAGAGCGCAAGAGAGCTGTGAGGGAGGAGGGAAAGCCATCGCCGGCCCTGCGCGCTGGGCCTTTAGCAGAGGAGGCCTTGGATCATGCTGTTTGCTGACCATGCCGTAGCTTGGCTCTTCCCAGCAGCAGTCGGTCCAGTAAAAGGTGTTGCCTCTCCCACTTGGTCTCTCTAATATCCTGGGCCCAAGACAGCTACTGTAACTCTGAGCCTCCCCGTTGCACGTTCAGACTGCCACTTGGCTCAGTAGCCAGTCGCTTTCCAAGGGTAGCTCTAAAGAATCCTAGAACTGGAAGGTCAAACCCAGTCCCCTACCCTCACGGCAGGACCAAGCACCGTCTAGATCATCCCTGACAGGCGTCTGTCCAACCTGCTCTTAAATATCCCCAGAGATGAGATTCCACAACCTCCCTAGGCAATTTATCCCAGTGTTTAATCACCCCGACAAGAAGTTTTGCCTAATGTCCAACCGAATCCTCCCTTGCTGCAATGTAAGCCCATTGTTGCTTATCGTATCCTCAGGAGTTAAGGAGAATAATTTTCCTCCCTTCTCCTTGTAACCTTTTAAGAACTTGATAACTGTCATGTCTCCTCTTAATTGTCTCTTTTCCAGACTAAACAAACCCAATTCTTTCAGTCTTCCCTCACAGCTCATGTTTTCTAGACCTTTGATCATTTTTTTCTCTTCTCTGGACTCTTTCCAGTTTGTCCACATCTTTCCTGAAATGAGATGCCCAGAACTGGACACACGACTCCAGCTGAGGCCTAATCAGCATGGAGTAGAGCAGAAGAATGACTTCTCGTGTCTCTTTCAC